GCTTCAGCCTTTTCACCTTGTCAGAAACAGAGTGTTCTCCTTCATTACTTGCTTAATGTTACCATTCCAGACAAGGTGAGATGGAAGCTGGTAATTGAAGTACAGAGCATCCAGGCAGATGGCAATAATGAACGGGCTCCAGTAGTCGCTATTTGAAAGTCTATCAGAACGGTGTAGAACCCTCAGGACAAACTCCATGCTGTCCATGGTTTCTGAGCAAATTGTATCCGTCTGCTGCACTTGACCATTGTAGAAAAACATTTTCCTTTGCCAGTATGCCAGAAGCACTGGGTTGTGGCACTTAATTTGAACCACAAACACTGCGCTTTCAAAGTCATCCTCCAGCACTTTGATGGAGAGAATGTCCAAGCCTTTAGGGGCAGCCATTTTGTACCGATGATCCTTCTCTTAAATAGAGAGAAAAAGGATGTCATGTTTTACTGCTAAAACAATAATTCACCGTATAATACAACTTTTATAAAGAGAGCAGGTCATGCAAATGATTCATTTATTTTAATTTGCTGACTTTCTTAGTTAAATGTAGTAATATGGGTGATCTGTTCACTCCACTCATTTTGCCATCTGCTTTTTTTTGTGGTTATTCAGAGCACAAATTTGGTTTTCTAAATGGTAAAGGAAGATGAAAGCCTTTACCTCAGTTTTTATTTTATTACTGCATTTGTAGTAGTAAAATTGTTTTCAAGCTTTGATCAAAAGATGAACAAAACACACTGAGTGTTTCTAATCTTTTTCTATTCTGTTGCTCCACGCAGACACACTTGTCATGCGAGTGCTTTTTAATGTTAAAATGCTTACCTTTATGCTGTACGGAGTGCAAGTCATTCATGAAAAATATAGCTGTGTCTATTGTGAAGCTTTTATATGTGCCCTGTCCTTGAGGTTGATGTCTCAACATACCTGATGTGTAAAAAAACAGTAGAGCTTGTATTTGCATATGATGTAAGCAGACTGGCTGTATTTAGAGTTTATCATTGGGTAATTAAACAGTTCTCTTAAATCCTCACATAGACCTGTTGTTTGCAGTCATCTGATAAGATAAAGTTTCCCAAAAGGACAATTATTTGCATTTGTTCCAAGTTTAGAAAAGTTCCAGTCACTGTAAATAACGTTTTTTCTTTAGCATTCTCTATTTATTCGTATTGTAATGAGATAATACAATATTATTTTTTAGTAATTGTACAATTATATGAAACAAAACAAAACTTCATTCATGAAAGCATACTGTATATGGAGAACCATATTCAGAACTATCACAAGCAATGTACTGCAACCTTTGTAATAGCATAGACAGCCAGAGTATTCTAATGTAATAGTCTTCTCTGAATTTTCTCCTTCAGAGCTAAATTCTACTTAGTCATGCAAGGCTGATTGTGATAGTTGAAATGCACAGTACATTATTGTAAAATTAAATCCATGCTTCAGTGGCAGAATAACCACCAAAGATTTTACCTGTCGAGAGCAAAACCACTCTAAATTTACTTTACATTTAGCATCAAATTAAAGTACAGAGAGGGAGGACAGCGGCATTTACTAAAGAGGATTTACAATACATGAAAACTAGCAATTTGTACCAGTTCAAGCTTTGAAGGGTTGCTTCAGATATACCAAATACACCTGTAAGCAAACAGAGTGTTTAAAACGCGATCTGAAAGCTCCACACTGCCTTGTGGAACCTGCTTGTCATGTTTGGTGAGCCTGCAGAAAGATCCGTGCTAGCTAAAACAGGTTATATTCTAGGTAAGCTCAAATTTGTATTTTTATTGCAGTAATTGTACAACAAAGCAGCCTAGTTTAAATATACTGATCAGTTATTTTTGAAACATGGTTTTCAATGTTTTAATGACAGGTTAAGACAAAGTGACTTGACATTTATGTTTCAAGGTTGACACTTTTGGCTTTTGGCTATATTCATAAACCATTTTCAAGTACTGTACTCTTAAACAGAGCTACATCCTAAATAATGTTATTTCAGACGTCCTTGGTATCTATTTTTTGTATTTAGGTCTTTCATTTTTATCTTAACTCAACAGTGAAGGAAACGGTAATAATCTGAGAACGTGGAAAATCAACATCTTTTCAGTTTTTCTGTAATTTACAGTTGCTGTTATTTACATATTGTTTCATCATTTACAGTTGTTCTTGAGGAACAACAATCCCAGCATCCATTAAAAATGTAAAATATGCTTGGTTCATTGAAGCCTTCTGAAGAAGTTTTAATATTTAAATGGGATTCAGCAATTACAAATAATTGTAAAGCTGAAATATTTCATATGTTAAGATCTTTGCAGATTTACAGTTCTGTGCAAGTTCTGACATGAACTTGTGACCGTCTCTGCCTCAGACCTTGAAATCAGATGGTATTCCATTCATGAACAAATCATCTAGCCAGTGATCCTAAATACCTGCCAAGAATGGTCCGTGATGCACGTAGATGCTCCCTCATAGTTATTCTTCAGTTTCTTGTACAGTTGTGTGAAAAATCAGGAATGCACATTTTTGTGCAAAGTTGCGTCTTTGTTCCTTCTAGTTCTGCTGTCTTTTTAAACTGTTAAGTGGCCTTCAGTAAGAGGATATCTATATACTGTCACCCCTTTGTGACATGTCTTAAAGATTTCATTCCTCCCACTTTGTAAATATCAGGCTACCTGCAGGAGATGACAGGCTTATAGACAGAACATATGATAAGTCATAAATAAACAGAACTTTGTTTCTGGTGGGTGAAACAGCAGACCAGCATTTATTTCAGACCTTTCAGAACAGACTGGTTGTTTGTAATGTCTATATCTAGTTCGATATTGGCAATACGGGGAGAATTTAGTTCCTTCTAGCCCATTTTACATTTTAAGGTGGGTTTTGTTGAACCAGTTATCTCATTCCTTGTTAGGTCAGTTTTGGTGGATAAGTACTTGTCTGATTGATGTCCCTTATATAGTGCATTTGAAAAATCATTCATGGTACCTGCCTGCCTTTGGTTTCTCAAACACATGCTGAATGGGATTGGCCAGGTGTTGTAAACTCTCCATGGTCCTGTTATATACTCGATGTGCAGTCATGTGTTCCCAGTCCAGTCTTGTGCCCTGTATTTCTGGGTAGTCAGGGATGGATGCTGCCTGTGTATGTGAGGAATACGCTGAAAGCTACATTGAGAGCCAGTGACAATCTGTTGGTCACAGGTCAGAAATTAACCAAGAAGTCTTTTCACTTAAACTGGCATTATAGGAAAACACAGTTTTTGTCTTACTTTTAGTCATAGACTTTGTTACTTAAAATACTTTAAAACAAATACTGAATAGTCTAAAAAGGATTAATCATTTTTGAATCTTTACCATTTCTTTGAGCAATGGAAGTACTTTCGTTTGCCCCTAAATCTTTCAGGTTTATCTGCAATTTCTTTTAGTAACGACTTGTCTGTTCTTTAGCATTGCACCCTTAAACTCCTTGCTCTTAGAAACACTGCTGTAGGAGCTATAATGACCAAATACACAGGACCTTTTTCTCCAAAGGAAATGGCTGCAAAAATATTTATTTAGACTGAAATATTTATTAAAAGCTTTTTGAAGGATCCTTGGCATTTTTTTGTGTGAAGGCTCTGATTCAATTCAAGGAAAGAATTAAAAGATTAGAGATTAGAGGTACTGGTCTTGGCTAAAAACATGACCATATGACTAACTGAAATATTTATCAAGTAAGCATCTGAGGCAGTATTCATCAGCAGATGTGAACAAAAGAGATAATGGGGGACAGCACAGAAGATAGACGTGCAGATATTATGTTTACGTCACTTTTTAAAATAATTGAACAAAACATTTTTACCAACTTTCTTATGAAAGCAGCCAATGTAACCAGTAATAAAAATCCAATCTTTATATTTTGAGTTTAAAGCTAGCTATATTGAGGGGACAGTTCCAAATGAATTAAGAAAATCTGCATTATGACTAAAGTGCATGTTAAAAAAAACATTGATTCAGTCTTAAGATTGAGAGTCAGTTCAGTTGTCCTTTAGATTCCGGTATTTGTTTTGAGATTTCGTATTGCATGTTAGTTTAGGTTCCAGTGAGGCTGTATTTTGGATTTTTGTGTGTCTTTTTCCATTTAAACATTGCGAGACTTTTATCAGCGCTGTGTATGGGCAGTTGCATCTTTGACTTTTGTGTCACTTACGTTCTGTGATCTCTAAAACTTTCTGTAAAGTACTGGGTACAGTAGATTACTGTAAATATCCTGTCATTTTCTCTGTTTAATTTATATGAGTACTTATTTGTGTGGCATTTTTGTTCGACAGAAACATTTTGTAATTTTCTAAACAAGAGCTTATTTACAGACCTGTCAGGTGAACTTAAGGACAACATGTTTTTTAGATAACCATGTAACCATGCAGTAAAATTAATCTTCTTGTAATATGAGCTGAGAACTGATAAACATCAGGTTTTGGATCTGATTCTGGTAAATGTAACTGTTTTCCAGGATCATGTTTCTGAGGATCAGAATTCCTTTTAGTCCTCCTTGTCTTCTTTATCCTGCAAAGTTTATTTTATTTTATGTAAGTGTAGTTAAGTACATAGTGCGAGGAGTACAGCTTCCTCTCATTTTGGGAACAGAGCGCAATGTGTTGAGCTATGGCCAGAGCAGTGTTTTTCAGTGTACAAACTTATTGGACAGAGTTATTTGGGCATTCATTCAGAAATTAACTTAAATGTATTCATTTTAAACATATAATCTTGGTTGTCCGCCATTAGGATCAACCAACCAAAATGTCAAGGAAGCAGTGTCCATAGTGTCCTATGACTCACATAAACTCTATAAACTTTCTCTATAAAGTTTCTGTTCACTCCTTTCCTGATCATACGGTGGTTCATAGTCAGTGATTTCACCCACTTTAATATCCAGCTATATTGATTTGAAACACAAAGATATTTTGACAGCCATTCAGATTTTCAAAATATTAATTTTGTCATATTTTGTTTTTGATTTTTTTTCAGAATATGAAGATGGCGATTTATCTTCCTGGGTTAACAGGGAACGATTTCTTGGATATCTGCAGATTGATGGATTCACTTTATATGAACTTGGAGAAACAGGTACTGAGGCATGAGTATATGGAGTACATACTTAAATGTCTTCATGATTTAATTTCTACTGTTTTGATTTATTATTAAAGAGGCAAGTTAGAAAATTGTTTTTTATAGATCTTGAAGGCCATTAAATGTCTTAATCATTCTGTGGCCTCTCATATCCACTCCACTGTGCAATTTCGATACAACCAGTTTAATTATTGATTGATTTGATGATTAGCGGGATCAGTCTTAAGGAGATTTAAGACTCTTATTTAAGGAGCTAGTTGTATCAAACTGCTGAACAGATGTGGATTAGAAGAGTTGAGTAGCCCTGTTATAAAATATTAGTCATAGAATGGAATTAGGCTGTCTTCCTTATGTTAACTGCATAATGGATTTAAAATTGCTTTGCTTGTGTAACAACTAAATTGTCCTTTGAAATTGGCCAAGGTTTTTTCATTCACAAGTAGTATGCAGAAACTGCAAATCAGAGCACAATATTTTAATAAGAGACTGATATAAGCATCAAACAAATTGTCCAGATACGCCTCGTTGCCATCACTATGTGTAATTGTGTTCTCATTAAAGAGGCATGGCCAGTTATTAAAAGGTAGATTTCATATTTTAAATGAAAAGCAGAACTTGGAAGATGAAGACAAATCAATTAAAAAGGCTGTAGTGTGAAAATACATCTCTTTTGAAATTGAAGCACATGATTATCTTAATCAGGTATCAGCTAATTTTTGAGGGTGTTTTTTTGTAAGATTGATGTGTATTGCAGCTATTTTATGTAAGTCAATATACAATGTCGAATAAATAACACTGATTTAAAAACCCTTTGCTTTTCAGTTTCAAACCTGTTTCCTAGTGCAATATTGTACATAGTGCCTCCAATTCATTTCAGGTGATAACTGACATCTGCTTCACAGGTGAAAAGCTGGTTAATAAGGCAGAGGAACCCCCATTTTTAGTTTAAATTGGGTATACCTTTGAGGGTGCACTACAGGTTGATGCATTGATCTGTGATTTTCTGATTTCCTAGTATATGTCAGCTATATTCTGTAAAGTAGATAGAAAAGTAGATGACTGAGATAAACCAGCAGTGTGCTGTACTAAAAATAAGTCTTTGTATTTGAATAGGCAGAGAGCTACCTGCTTCTCAGGTCTAGTCTATATCATATTAATATCCCACTGTGAGCCTTTTAAACAGGACTAGAACTGTTATCATATGAGATGTAAGAAGCCTGAGGGGTTGTATTGAACTTGGTGCATGGGGAAAAAGAGTCTTTTTAGACTCAGACTTCAAGTATACATCAACACAAAGATATCACTATAGAATGATTAGTTGTTTGTGCTGTTATTTCTGCATGCTGCAAGAGGAAGTAACCAAGACAAACACTGTGAATTCATTCATCACCTGTTTCCCGGAATTGGTCCCATACTTCATCTGTTTAAAATTAATCTTTGGAAATGTTCAGAGAAATGTGTGGGAAAAGCAATGAGGATATGGACTAGTAATTATGATATCTGATATCAGATTATTTTAGGCATGTACAACATTTTATTCATATTGAGTATACATGCTGGTCAGTAGAACTGAAATCAATCCTTTTCTACAACTGTTTGCTGGCCTCACATGCAGAGAACTGCCACGTTAATATGTGCAGCTTTGATACAGATAGAAAAAATGTCAGTTGCATAACACCAAGCATGTAATGGAGCAGACACCAACGCACACGTATGTGGTTTCTTGTCCTAAGCTGTTACTTGCTCCGCAGGTTAATAATTAGAAAACTTGTCCATATACCTACCTCTGTATTAAAAAAAAAACATAATGCAATGCAAGGCAATATATTTGTGCCATACGAACCACTTTTTTGTGCCAACAAATTTTGTCAGATATGTTGAACATATATTATAGATACAAGGAGTAGCTTTCCGAAATATAAACTCCCCGCTGCTTAACACACAGTCTGATTCAGAACTCAGGAAGCAGTGTTTAATATTTTATCTAGTTTAATGTAGTAATTTCTTAAGAGGGGCTTGGAGAATAAGCTTTCATTGTGTGGTATTTGCTGATTATAGTGCCATCATTGACTCTGTTCCCACAGCCCACTGCTTCATAATGTCTTGGATCTCAGAAAGCGATTTGCATAAAACCTCCTTTCTGTGCAGTTTGAAGTGCACAAGTAGGCCAGGCAGTTCAAAAAAAGACCTAATCACAATGATAAAATAAGGTCTAGAACATGTAGTTTGCCACAAAAATGGATAGGTGATGCTAAATGTTTTGCATGTTTTGTGAAATAATTGTTTCCACCTGCTAGAAAAAAAAACATATACACTTTTACCAGTAGGTGGCAATCTTTGACTTTTTACTTTTATAATTTGACTTTTATAATTTCTTACAATACAAATTATAAGGTTTTTCCCAGAATCCATTTGCTTGAATTTAATTTAAATCTTTTAGCTAAAACAAGGAATATGAGCTGGTTCCTTATTATCCTGTTGTTTTGTCTATAAACATATTTCATGGTATTTTATAATGTCTTTTTCCTAATAGGCAAATTGGTGGCAATTGCTGTCCTTGATGAGAAAACCGCCTCTGAGGAGAGCACCAGGTGAATTCTTGAGTATTCCTTACAGCTTAGTTGGTTACACACTTTAAATCTTTGTGTTTACATCTGTTTTAGTGAAACAACACTAAAAGCATTTAGAATATACTCAACGCTATTATATGGTATACTTTATTATGCTAGAATCCTTGAGTTTACTGTTGAGAGATCATTGTGTTTGTCTTACAGGTTGAAGTCTTTGATTCAGAGAGTTGCAAAAGAATACAGGGATCATTTTAACAGGTGAGAATGGCTACTAATACACCTGTCTTAAAAGAATGTCATAAGAGAATGTTCAATTGTTTTAAAAAGAAAAATCTATATATGTGTGCTATCTGCCTTTTCCTATTTGTATTACTTTGTGCAGTGTAATCTGTGTGAGTTTTCCGTTGTTGTTTATGCTTAAAAGCTTATTTGCCTTTCTAGAACTGTAGAATTGCAAAAGCTGTTTAGATGCCTGTAGTGTATAAGAAAATGCTGAAACATCCATAAAGGAAACATTGTGTATGCAGTAAACCATGAGTAAGTAGTTTTTCAATATCTGCAGCAAGTCTGGTCGGTTCTGTCTCCATCCTTTGTTTATCGTTAGCCAGTGGAAAATTGTACTGGTCTGTCTGCAAGCAGACTCTTTTTTTTCTGATCTCACCAGCTCCCTTCATTATTTTTTACATTTTTATCCCACTTTGTTTGCAAGAACCTTTAATTCTGCAAATCCTACAAATGAGACAGATCAGATCAGTTAATATGCTTGGAGCCTCAAAAAAACTTATATTTAGGAAAATATACATACAGTATATTGATTAAATGTTTTTCTTATCTTTTTGGTTAATAAATCATTCATGAATGACCGTGATGCACTTGAGTGACTTTGATTGTTGCATAAGCACTAAGGCAACTTATTATTAGGAGAGCTGGTTGAATACAGGGTGGGAGGTGATTTAATCTGTTGAATGTCAAGGCTGGTGAAAATCATGAAAGTAAAACACAGAATGGAACAGGCATACCCTTTGTTATCCCGAGAACAACACCATCACGGTATCAGTATGTTGGAAGCAGAACTAAGTCTGAGTTTCTGAGTCTCAATCACCGTGTTCACAGGCAATAGTTACTGTCCTGGCAAGACACACGCAGTCTGTCAATGACAGGCCTGTGGGAGGCATGAGTCATGACGCCATGCCAGGATCAATGGTAAGGTTTGAGTACAGTGGTCTGGGCAGGAGTGTCTAGTTGCTGTAGAATTCTATATATAGTGATTGATCATAACCTGATTACTAACCGCCTGAATCTTGGGACCTCACTTGCTGCTCTTCCTTTGGGCTCATTCTGAAATGCCAGCATTTTAGCAGGGCAACATTCTGATCTCATCCTCATGTTCATGTAATCTACACCAGTGTGAATATGACTGTTATGCTGTAGGTTGCCTAGACACCAGACTTCAACCTCACTGCATGTTATGTTCTGTATGTGACATGTGGCATCTAAGGTGCAGGGACTAGTGAACAGTCACATACTTGCCCAGGCTCTGCAAGAGGAATTTACACAGAATCCTACAAGACAGCATCTGTAACATGATGTCAAGCATGCGTTGCAGATGTACAGCTTGGACTGTTTCCACCAGGAGCCACATATAGCAGTAGCGTTTGAGTTTAAAAGTGCACTCTGTTAATAAACGCTGTAGATGACAATTGTTAACTAGTCAGAAATCCATTATGCTGCGCTGAAACTTTGTGAATTTGGCAAGTGTAGTTTTCACATATACATGCTTTTAAAGCTCCCACAAATGGCACTTTGAAGTGGAAATTAATATTTTTCAGATACACAACCGACTCCATAAATTCAGTCGAACAAAGAGGAAAAAAGTTAATAATATCCAAGAAAAATGAAAGTCATGATTGCTCAAGTATTCAAACACTTTACTGTGGCAAACCAAAATTAATTTAGATCCACAAACTTACTTTAAAGAGCCACATAATTAGTTAAGTAGCCTCTGTATATGTGCAGCATAGTGGTTCTCGTGATTTCAGAATCAAAGCTCTCATCTCTTTGAGGTTCCTTGGTTAAGGAATGTATATAAAATGAAAACTCAATCATGGAGACTAAGGAGCTTTCAAAGCAAGTTGTGGTACAAAAAAATCTCAAAATCCCTGAATATTCCTCTAAGTACGGTACTTAATCATCAGGAAATACATGGTACATCATACCACCCAGATACTGCCAAGGTCAACTTTCCAAACTTAGTACAATAGATGCGCAGGGAGGAAATTGGTGAGGGATGCCGCTGTGAACTGTGAAACCAACAACAGCTTTCAAAGAGCTGTGAAGCTCAGTGGCTCAGATGGGAGAAAATTAATGGGCAATGAACACGGACTGCAGTGAGAATACTTTTTACCCTTTCTTGCTGTTATGGTCTCTGTTTTTGTGAGACCAGAGTGAATCCAGTATACCCCAGAACTACATTTCCTTGTGAAATGATAGAAGTCATTGGCTATTTCTTCATGACTTGCCTTTCCAGTTAACCCCAGGAGGTTGAGGCCAAAAATAATTTTCCTTGAACCCATGTGTTCCTTTCCTTCCTAATTGACACGGTGTATTATTGTCTTGAAATACCATGAATGGTAACAGTGCACTGGTCATTAACATCCACTGCATGGGACCTGGTCATAGGACGTGCTGGCAGTCATGGTGCCCTTCCCAAAATAGAGAGCTTTTGTCCAAAGCAGAATAACGATGCCCACTTCCATCATGTTGCTGTTGCCACTCTGAGAATTGACAACAGTATACGGCAGACTAAAGCATTCTGAGCTTGTTACCACACCTACACAATACCATGTATAGTGTGCAGCAAGACTTTCTTCTCAAGAGGGCTCATTCCCCGTTTTCCTTACACTGTGTTCTGTGGTCTTGGTACCTTGGTAGCTCTTTGCTAATGGGCAGCTCCTCTGCTACAAAACCTGTGCATACAATACCCTACCTGCGCTAGATGTTCATGAGGACACCTGGGGCGATCGCACATGTTAAACAGATTTCTTGCATGTTTTCTTGTTTCCTGCCTTGGAATATCATTGAATATGGGAATGAATTCACTAACATGTATGCCAGGAGGTTTTTACAAGATGTTAAACATTTCTGATTGCATAGTTTTGGAGAACCCTATTATACACAGTACTTGGCACTGGATAAAAATGGGCATACAGTAACAATCTGAGATCATCCCCAAGAGCGATATCTTATTCTTTTCCATGGGGGTTAGATTGATTTATAACAGGAACTGCTACTTTTTGCAAGGATGAATCATTCAATAAAGGTCAAAAAGATGTCAGTGTTCGCATTTCCATGCATATTTTAACTACTCTAGCAATTTTTCTCAGGTTGAATGAAACACTGGCTGTATTTTCATGAGCAAGGTTTATTTTGCACAAGATGAACTGCTGTTTTTCCAGCATCATCCAAAAGAAGGAAGAAGGTGGAGGCTTGTGATTAGATTAACCATGCATAGTTTACTGTAACAGTTCCTTCATAAAGAACATTTACCCGAGAAACTCATCATGGTCTGACATTGGGCGACTAAACTGTTAAAAGCTCAATGGTCTTCAGGCATATGCACAAGAAATGTTTCTCAGTAATTTTTACAGCAATTTCTATTCTGTGTCTTTGACATGCACATTACAGGAAAAAAATCCATCACTGCTTATCTTTAAAAATAAGAGGGTAAGACTGATAGTGAAACCTTCTCTTATCAGCTTTTCTGAATACATCTTTACCAAAGACATAATAGTCTAATTATCTAAAATTAAAGGATTTCAAAGTGTTTCTGAATACCTGTCTCTAATAATGCCTTCCAACAAATCATGTGCAATATCAGTATCCGTCCTGAGATGTAGATAAGCTTAAAGCAACATAAATGTTAGGCATGAGCAGTTTGAGGCATGAATTTCACCATTAGAACTTTTTGTTATTTTGAACTATTATTATCGTAACAGTTTCAAACACTTCACATTGGCTGCATATTCATATTTTAGCTTTAGATTACATTTTTTTTTAAATTCTAATCATGGTAAATTATAGTGCTATATGACAAGCTTGGTTTCTTTTCACTCAAACTAAGCTGTATTAACTAAGTCAGTAAGTGATTACAATTGTAGAAAGCACTAGGGGCACTAGGGGAGAGAAGTGTTATGCTCATAATAAGCATTTTGTGACTCCTGATTTTTAAAGACTTTTACAAAGCACTGTTTTTTCAAAGTTGTTTTTTATTCATAACATAAATTCTAAACTTTTTCACATCTTTGATGACAGGTGCTGGTGTTTGCAGTTCTAGAGTATTTACATTTTTATTGCCACTGTCTTTATTAATGTGTATTGCAAATCAGGACTTAATGTGTGGTTGTCTCTTTGAACAGTCGCATACTGAGATTTCCTAGAAATAAAATTGCAGTTTTCCTTATGCCACTCAGTCCTGTATTCCACCTCTGTGTATGATGCAATACAAATCAAATTTTCCCTGCATCTTATCGCAGTGAGCCATCGTCAGGGGCTTTCCAAAGAGAAATCATTACCAAGACCACAAAACCCCAGGAGCTAGTATGTAACAAGAATCAAGCTAAGTGTTTTTGTAGGAAAAAAATGTCTGCATTGATTGTCTCTGAAAAGGCACTCATGCACACCCAGTCTTACCTTTGTCCAGTAGAAAAAAGGCAACACTTTTAAAAGTCATTGGGGGTCTGAAATGGTATTTAGTGGTTTTGTTTTATCCAGAGGATATTTCTTTTCTAACACAGCAATGTGTAAAATAAGTAGTCTTGAAACAAACTGAAGATAGCCGTTATAAAATTTCAAAATGCAATAATCACAGACATATTTGCAACACTTAGCTCAGATTTTTGCACCTTCATGTGATGACAGGACAAGACATGCCTTTATCTGGGGACAATTCTGGACCTGGAGTACTATCTATGGTCTCCCCCTGTTTGTGGGATTTTCCTCTGGATGGTCTGGTTTCCTCCCACAGTCTAAAGTCATATTGGTAGGTCAGTTGCCTTCTAAAACTGGCCCTGGTGTGAGTGTGTGCCCTGCGATGGACTGGCATCCCGACCAGAATGTACCTTGCCTTGTGCCTGTCGCTTGCCAGGATAGGCTCCAGCTCCCTCAATAATACTGCAATAGTGGCAGTAGATGATTTGGTATCGCTGCTCTAAACTGAATGCTGCCACAAGCAAATCTCTATTTAAATATTCAATTACTGCTTCTGTTGAGAACATATTGAGTTGCTTTTGTTTTCTTTTTGTTTGACATTAAGTGGTTCTTTGTTCTTATTTTCACAGAGACTTCCAGTTTGGCCATATGGATGGTAATGATTACATTAACAGTCTGATAATGGAGTAAGTTTCATTTTTCCATTACAATTATGTTCTTATGTTCTTAGTTTGGCTTCCTTCAAGCTACAGCTGGATGAGATCCTTGGATCAATAAGCTACTGCGCTACCAGAGCCAAAAGGCCTACTTTTATTTCTCTCTGAGTCGAAAGCCCTTAGTTTATAATTTAAGAATAAGTTTTACTGTGCTGCTCAAATCAGTTTTTAGTCAACACTCTGTATTACAGAAGCCAAATTAAGGCCTGAACTATCCATTGTAGATGCAGATTATTTGGATCAGTCTGATATACTGTAACGTCACTTGTTAGTGGAATTCATATTTTAAATAAATGAAGTTTTTCATCATTCTGTGAAAAAGAAAAGGGATCTTAAGCCCATTATTATCCAGATGGTTTTTATAAATTCTGGCCTGTTTTATTTCTTCCTTTGGACAATTTGGAATAATCATCTTCTTAGTAGATGGGCTGCTCCTGTGAATGGTTTGTAAGATGTTGTTCTACCTGCACAAGTGGTTTCTAATTGGTGATGTGACTTGTCTACTCCAGTCCTTCTTTTCTTTCTCTACCCAGTAATAGTCTTAACCAAAGAGGACTCTGTGTTGCATGCTGCTAATACTAGGTATTCTAAAGTTCAAAGAGTCCTTCATAAAAATATCTATAAACAAAGGGGAATGTTTCTGAGTGTGAGCATAATTTAAAGGCATTAAATTAAGGAATTAAAGAGTTTAGACTGGCAACTGCCAGTTTTTTAAGGTTTCATGTGCCTCCCGATGCACGGTTTGCCATATAAGAAACTACCTTGAGTCGATAGATTTTTATAGTTCAGTGTATTTAGGCATGATTATTTACAGTATTCATTGTTTTCAAATCACTTACTGTACCAATGACAGAGAACAACACATGCCTTTTTAGTTTTGGGGGGATAAAATGTTGAACACTTGAATTTCCTGAAACATATGTATTAAAAATTAATATATAAATAAGTAAAAGTTTTAAAATGCTTGTAAAACATTACATTTCTAAATACTAACGTCTTTGAATAGTTAAACAGGATAAAATGTTAATATACCTTAAATTAAAAGGCATGTCTTTTATTGCAGTATTCTATAGCATAGTTTGGAATCTATTTGGTGGGTAATTTACACCTTCAACAGAATATTTTGAAACAGTTTGCCATTGACCTAAAATTTTGATTCAACTTTATATTCCCCTTATCTAACACTCTTTTGTAGAAGTAGAAAATAAACATCATATTGGGTTTTACAGGTTAAGTGAGAAAGAGATACTGGGAGTTCAGAGGTTCAGATGACACTGGAAGTATTGGTTTATTGACTCACATAGTATGTGTAGTTATTTTGTAAAGTTAGTACAGTATAGTTCATATGGAGTCTTGACTGAAAATGAAATAAAAAAACATGACAAAGATGGATAAATATCAGGTGTCTCAGTTTTGTTCCTGATTGGGCAAAGGATAAGTTGTTGTACTGTAGGAGGTAGATCTACTGATATAAGTAGCTTTTTTATTCCTGTGTTCTTTTGCAATGACAGATACTGATCGCCAAATGCTATATCATACTCTGTAAAAAACCTGACTGAAATCAGACCTATTTGCATGTTGTGGAAACCTTATCAAACATATTTTACATAGTTTCACTATGTATATCGTACAGTTTTGAAGTATATCATACAGGTTGTCCTATGTTTCAGTAAATATTTTAGTCTAAGCTTTTGGTGGATTTCTATTTTGTTACATTCTTAGAACAATTTGTGCATATTTAATTATTTTCAACCATATCTTTGAGATTTATTGTATTGTGTGGCCATTCCTCATGATATTAACATGGTTGTATTGTGTTTAATTGGCAGCAGAGGGAATACAATATTTTAATTTTTTTCACGTCTGAACTGGGAGCAATTGTCTGTAAAGCTCTGGTAGCTTTTAGATATTTATTACTGCCAAAACTTCCTGCTTCTAAAGGTCTCTTGTATTGATGAAACACATGAATTAACAGAGTTATTGATTTTGATTACCCCTTTTCACTCCATACAGAAAAAGCAGTATTTATCTTCAATAGTAGACTAATTATTTAATTACTTATGCTTTGCTAAAGATGTAGTCAGCTATACACTTTAAAAAAAATGTGTATAGCTTTTAAATAGTAATGTCTAAAAAAAATCTTCCTTTCTGTTCTATTTCTGTGGAGCTGGTATGTTTTTATATAAACAAGAAGTCTATAAACATTTTTTGAAACAGGAAGTGTAGGAAAGGTAACCCTATTTTTTTAAGTTGTCAATTTGTATTTATTTTCTAAATTGACAGTGAGGTGTCTGTTCCCACAATCATCGTCCTTAACACTTCAAACCAGCAGTATTTCCTCCCAAATAAAGCCATAAACAGCATTGAAGATCTCGTTCAGTTTATTAACCAAGTCCTGGATGGAACAGCAGAGGTGAGCTTCTGTAGTTTACTACAAACTGATAATACTGACAGGCATTTCCTCCCAAGAACCATGTAATTATTTACATTTAAACTTCATAGCCTATCTACAAGAGTTGTTAAAGGTATCAAAATGATCAGTAAGACATTGAAAGAGTCATTTACAAATATGTTCCAATTAAGTTTTAAAATGAAATATATGTCTGAATAAAAAAAGATTTTGTTATCTAAAAACTTAAAGCTATGTTGGGTACCTTTTAAATAGTAATGTCTTAATAGCTGGAAAGTTGTTCTGAGGTATATACAAGCACAGAATATTGATGATATATGATCCTGAAATGAGCTCAGTCCTGAAACTGGCTCAATTTAAAACAATATAAAAATGTGTTGCGTGTTTTGTGCTAGGCACAAGGTGGTGATGGAATCATTCAGCGCATCAGAAGAGTTGCATATGATGCAAAGTCAACTGTTGTTGTAAGTATAATTCCTTGTTATAATAATTTTTGTGTCTATTCCTTACTTTAACACTTATCAAGATTCTGGTTGTTAATATAGAAGAATCCCAATGAGTTAAGTTATTACGTTATTAATAACATCTAACTGTTATATTTTAATAACATAATAACTGTTATTAACAGTCATTGGTATGTTTTCTGACACAAAGCTTGTTTTGAAGACAACCTAATACACATCATCATACTCAACATTGATGGTGAAAACATTGGTGATTCATGAGGTAAAAGACTCACTCATCAAGTCTCCTCACTGTCTTTAACAAGTACTGCCTGCCTGAATAACAGCAGATTATTTGAAAAAGTAAAGGGCTGAACAAAATAAGCATTGGTCCTTCCAACCATTTGCTCTAGTTTAATGTTTTCTTGATCCTGTTTCATATGTGTTTTTCAGGAATATCACAAGCTCCTCATCAGGTGTGCTGAGCGTCAGCTAATCTAATGCTGGAAAATGCTTTGCTATTATTAAATATGACAGAAAGGTGCTTTATTAGTGAGAGTAAATCTACTCATGTCAGAATGTTAATTTAGCATGCCCATGCCTCATAGCAAAGAGGCACATAATTACCATTTTCCCCTCCCAATCCGTCCTCAAGAGTGCACATAAAATCAAAATTGTCTTCTAAATGAATAATCATGGCATTCTTTTACAGTACATAAAAGCCTATCTGAATATATTTCTGATTCATTGAAAAGTCTCCACATGAATATATTATAGGGATAGTTGTTTCAGATATATTTGAAATATGAATGCATTCAAATATATATGTTACCTTTATGGATGGCAAAAGAGAGCAAAATTCTAAGTTATATTGTTTAATTTGCAACATATTTTAAACTTTCACTCTTCTGGAGCTCAGAATAATTCAGAATGAGTTTCTCCCACTGCTACAAAGTATTTCTAAGCTTTATTTTGAAAAGGTAAAAGTCCTGCATTGTGTAAGAGCAGCTGCTATGTGTTTGCTCTTTTTTACACTGGCGATGTGTCTGAGATTTTGAACACATTCCTGCATTTTTTTACCAAGCTAAGTTCAGTGCCTGTTTTTTTTTTAAAATGTTCCTTCATATATTTGAAGGAGAATATAACTCCTAACTGTATACAGCCCCCCTAATCAAAGAACAGATGCTCTTATGATCTAGTTGAATATTAAATAACCATATACCTATATGTCTGTGCTGGATGCTTTTATAGGAGTGTATAAGACAAAGAAAGAAGACAGTGGTTTCTGTTTTTCCTTTCAGTCTGTCTTTAAGAGCTCTCCTATCCTTGGCTGCTTCCTGTT